TCATATGATATTGAAAACAGACCAGTTAGGAGATCATCATGATATCTGTATCCCAGCCACCGATCAATAACAAGCAAACGCAATCCCAGCGAGTCACCGCGAGACCTCAACACACAACACGCACGTTTTAGGACACACGTTCTTCAATAACAGTTAATAGATATTTTTTTTTTTGATCACTGAATTGTCCTGACCCAGAGTCACCCCGGTTAAAGAAAAAAAAAAGACGATGACCTTTGCTTCGGCGGCGAATGAATACTGCTCAGGTGCTGACGCCGTATAATAAAACACGGAATTTAGAAAGAAGAGATACAAAGTATGACTGCGTAAGGGATCGGGAGCTTTCTTTTTGGGTCATGTGACTGTCATTTTTTATATCCCGCTGGGCTCAATTCGACTTCTAAATAAGGATCCTTATCCTGGTGTGTTATCTTTTGTGGATTAAAAACGTCAACACACACAATTATTTGTTTACGTTGGTACGTTGTTGTCATTATGGGTCAACAATAAATAAAGCGTGTCCGTTCTATATCTCTCCACATGACGCCAACGCTTGGAGGGCTGCTAGAAAGGATTGGGGCCACGGTGCCCTGACGCTGTCCAGTGCTGTATCTTCTCACACTTATCTCCTAATGAAGTGATAGCTGCTGACAGTTAAAAGCAGATTTTAAGCGTGCGTAGACCGACATTTTTTTTTTTTTCCCCTGCGTCTGACGAGCTATTTGCTTCCGTGGCGCGGTCTGCGGCTGGGTTTGACCTCCTTTGGATGCAGCGGGTCCTAATGAGAGGCTTTTTTTTTTTAAATTGCAGGCAGAGCAGGTCAAACCTTTTTGCGCTCGGACGCAGGGAAAAAGAGGCGACCTTTGAAGACCGCGACTGGAGCAAGGTTGCTCCCGGGCTCTCGTCGCAAAGTTTAAGACGTAGCTACGGCAGCCATTGGGAATCGATCGCGCGTGGTTAAAGTCAAACACATTTCGATTGGACACTACGTATCACAAAGTTAATTTGATTGTTGCCTGGTTAGTCGCTTTGCGCCATTTATTGAATGAGGCTGTTCGCGTTTGACGTGTCACATGGCGGTAGATGTTTCCTAATATAGCAGGTGGACAGAATTTAATTGAACCCGTGACAATAATAATATCTACATAAGCGGATGAAAGAATTAAAATAAAGCGTGGACCATTTTTTTTTAATAGTCATAATAAAACCAAGCTGCCTACCTCATCTCTCCAAATGCACCGGGGTAGCCGTCCATCCATGGGGCCATCTCCGTCTTCACTGGACTCCCATATGGAACCCTTCCCAACATGGCGGTCGCCGGATACCAAGCCTCGGCGGGGAATTCGGCGTCCGGCCCCGGCGGTACGTGGCTTCGTGGGTAGCTGTACAAACCGGCATCTGCGTAAGAAGCCGAGGTCTGTCCATCCTCGAAGAGGGAATGCCAGTTGGCGGAGGGGCCGCAGTGTGGAAAGCCGGGGAGCTCGCCGTATCGGCTCGGTCCTCCCCAAGCGCCGCCGGCGAACTCCATGGGGCTCTCCACCTTTATCCTGCCATGTGGAGCAAGTGCCATCTGAAAGCTGTAATAGTCCCGGCTTGGGTAAGCAGGACTGTCCTCCATAAAAGCAGTAGGCTTGTATAAGGTCAGGCTCGGAATCATCTCCATCCCACGGCTTCTCAAGACCCCGGGCTCCGGCAGTGCCATGTCGGTGCAGGGCTGCTCTTTATCTTCTGCGGGCAATGAACTGCCATCCTCTGGGGCTTTGCCAGGAGAATAGGTACTCTGGCCAGCCCTCCTAAAGGCACCTTCATGGTACTGGGAGGATGAGGTGTCACTCTTGTCTTCCTCAGCCACTTGGCATTTCTGGGCGTCCATGGTGTGATGTGAGGGCCCCGCGAACATGCAGTCACCTCTCTGCCCCTCCCCCGCGGTGCTCAGATGCTCCAGCGCCTCCATGCTGAGCCCGAGGGACACAGACACCGCTTTGCAGATCTCTTTGGCACTGTCGGAGATGCCCTCTGGATAACCTTCCTTGGACGATGGCTCTGGGTTGCCTTCCTCCGGCATCCCTCCCTGGTCGCCCAGGATCTCCTTCAATTCTGTTGGGCAGCTGCTGAGAGGGAACTGGGGTGGCTGGCTCTGAGGGCTGCAGGGTGGCGGATCCTGCTTCGCTCCCTGTGGTTCTCTCCACGGGGTGGCCCGGGCTTCGGACCAGGGTGAGGAGTTGCTCCAGGTGGGATGGGGGTGAGCACAAGAGGAGAGGGGGCTGGAGGTGTCCAGAGAAGCAGCTGTTCTCCTCTCACCTGGCAGAGCCTCCCTGACGCTCAAAAAAAGATTCTCAAAGACTCCACGTATCATTTTCCCTGGAGGCTGCTTGTAGACCCCCCCGAGTCCAATGTGCACCTCCATCTCCCGCCCCTATTTGGGGTGAGTGCCAGGGATATCACCAAAGAGAATTCTACGGGTAGTACTAGGGGTAGTGCCAGGGATTGCACCAGAGGCAGTAGCAAGGGGTTGTGCCAAGGGTAGCACTCGGGGGTAATGCTAAAGATGTTACCAGGAGCAGTTCCAGGTGTAGTGAAGAGTCGTGCCAGGGGCAATTCCAAGGATAGCACCGTGGTAATGCTAAGGATAGTTCCAGGAGCCGTTCCAGGTGCAGAAGGAGGGGTAATCCCAAGGATAGTGCCAGGGGCAGTTCCAGGTACAGAGCAAGAGGTAGTGCCAGGGATAGTGCCAGAAGCAGTTCCAGGTGCAGAATCAGGGGTAGTACCAGGGGCAATGCCAAGGATAGTTCCAGGAGCAGTTCTAAGTGCAGAATCAGGGGGGAGTACCAGGGCCAATGCCAAGGATAGTGCAAGGAGCAGTTCCAGGTGCAGAATCAGGGGTAGTACCAGGGGGCAATGCCAAGGATAGTGCAAGGAGCAGTTCCAGGTGCAGAATCAGGGGTAGTACCAGGGGGCAATGCCAAGGATAGTGCAAGGAGCAGTTCCAGGTGCAGAATCAGGGGTAGTACCAGGGGGCAATGCCAAAGATAGTGCAAGGAGCAGTTCCAGGTGCAGAGCAGGAGGCAGTGCCAAGGATAGTGCCCACCAGTCCAGTGCAGGCTGTGTCTGTGTCCCCTGGAAAGTCTCGTCTGCCTATGTCGGTGAGATTGAACTTCCTCAGCCCGCTCTCTCCTCTCTATTTGCTCTCCTCCGCCATACGCCGCCCCCACCAAACTTTCCACTGCCTATGAAGCGGCTCCGTACTGCCTGCCACCCCCCAACCTGCTGCTCCTCCTTATCCTACCCCATAGACCCCTCACACCTTCCTCCCCCCGGGACCTGTCTGTGGCCCCCGTGAAGAGCCCGGGATCGATCTGGTCCGTCCTGTTCTGCGCTTCGCGCTGCCCCGTCCGCTGTCTGCGCTGTGCTGAGGTCACACGGCATCCCGGCATCCCTACAGGCGAGCTCGTGCACGCGGCCCTCTGGACGGCGCCGAGCGTGCGCGCGGTTCCTGCTGTGCACGCGCCTCATCGCTTAAAGTGGAACTTTGGCTACAATTTTGCCGTCGGGAAGATTTAGGACACTTTGTATCTTCTGCAATTAAATATATATATTTATTACGTTCCCCCCTGGCAAACTGCAGCTCTGCGGGCGATCCCGACGTCCGCTCGACGCGCACAACGCTCGGGAGTTATGCCATCCCGGCCAATCGGGGTGGCCGCAGATCCAGGACGCAAAGAGAAACCGCGCTGCAAGGGTTAATTGCTCATTTTGGTCTCGGGTCACGAATAAAGATTATATCCTCACCCGAACCTGCTTTCTATGCCCCCCTCCCCAACAGGAAATGCGAAGAAATCTCTCCAAAGTGAGGGTGATCCCCCTCTTAGATAGTTGAATCCAAAACTGGTGACCCCATTGAAAAAGATTCCCCCTCTGTTCCTGTTCTATAGGTCACATCTGTCCATAGAGAAACAGCCTAGGTGAAGTCCAACACTTGTAAAAATGTGTTATCCCAGGACGAGCTGCGCAAAGCTTTACGTGGGACCTCAGCTGACGCATTTCATCTACTACCAGGTCAAGCATTGCCCAGTAAGAGGAGAAATGCGTCATTAAGGAGGTTGCAGGTAAGGCTTTGTGCCGCTTGTCCTGGAGTATTAAAGTTTGGACTTCGTGATGATTTTCTCTGGATGTGTTGGCAGTTCGGGGTGAACCTAACACCCTGCTTGGCGAGCTGATGGTGTGATCCACCTTAGAAGGCTTGGGAGCAACCGGAAACCTCTACCTATTAAAACTTGCCAGGGATCCTAATTGGTGTTGACCCTGAATTACGTCGTGATTGGCCCTGGATTACGTCGGTGGATCCATTTTTTGATTAGTTTTTTATTTCAAATAAAGGATTTTTTCCAAAATCATATTTTATGGGTAGGAGTATAAGTACCCCTTACTTGTTCACAAGGGGGGGGGGGGGCAACATCTGGGTGCTCCTTTATTAAAGGGGTACCCTGATGTGAATAATCCCCCTGCCCTCACCCGCACAACCAATGCCCCAGGGCTAGTGGGGAAGAGGCCCTTTTCCCCATCGGCATGGGGACAAGGAGCTTTTCCAGGGGCGACTCTGGAAAAGCACCCACCCAGTGCTGAGGGCATGTGGCATGGTTTGCTGAGAGGGGGGGCACTCGCTCGTCCGTCCCCCCCTTTCCTGCCCTGCCAGGACTGTGATCGGATCAAGGGTCTTGTATGGAATTTTAGGGGGTACCCCATGCCCCCCCTCCTTTTTAGGGGTGGGGTTCCTCCTTAAAATTGCTACCAGGCCTTAAGGGCCTGGTATCACTTTTGGGGGGAACCCCACGTTTTTTTGTACCCCCCCCCCCCCGGGCACGATATTTAAAGGAATTTTTCATTCTTATTGTTACCCTTTAAGCGATGTTACAATCAAGGCTCCTTTAAAAACTATTTTTTAAAGTGTTTTTTTTCATTGATTCCTGGGGCAGAACCCGGACCCCCATACATGTCCCCCAGGGCAGCATAAATAATAATAAAAAATACTAGATTGTGAGCTCTCATGAGCAGGGCCCTCTTAACCCTCCTGCACTGAAGTTGCATTGTATCTGTACTGTCTCCCACTATTTGGTAAAGCGCTGTGCAAACTGTTGGCGCTATACAAATCCTGTGTGATAATAAGAATGGCCACGCAGGGCGCACAAGGAGTGCGCACATCTACAGGGATGCAGGGGATGCCTCTTGGTCACAGCACACTGTCAGCAGTGATATTGCATAAAGCACGCTCCAGCTCTGCCAGCTTCATACTGTTGCAAGGTCCCAAGTCCTCCCGGGGGCCGTGACCACTTGCCAAGGATGGCGGCCAGAAAAACTTCCTGGGGTGGCAAAAGCCAAAGCGATGCGTGTAGGTAGAGCGATGACACGGACGTATGATCAACGATCTCTGGCTCATAAATGATCATATTTACACGCTGACTGCACAATGTGACACGTGAAGGGCTCGTTCACACGGGCCGCGCAGAGTTGGCGTGCGCAGATTTAAAAAAAGACGTGTTGCATCTCTGTAACTCATCATGAGACGCGGTGCTCGGGAGGGAAATGAGATCGCTGCGACACATTGTAACAACGCATTGCGGAATATCACACCAGCACATGCATGTTGCATGCACGGCGACACGCTGTGTGAACGGACCCTGACCTGTATACGATGTTGTGTGATACTTGTCCTGGTGTTGTCACCTCACAGGAAATAACACAGATTTCCGGCTGTGATACAATGACAGAGAACGTCACAGCCGGAGGGTCTGCAGGAAACTTTATTACCCATCACCCACTAAAGAGGCTCTGCAGCAGATAAACCTCATATAAGAGTCATTATAACTATCCCGGGGGGATCCCGCCATTGAGGTCCTTCTTCAGGCACTTCCTGTTATAGGGTGACAATGCTCTGTTCTTGTTCAGACACTTCCTGTTATAGAGTGACAGTGCTCTGTCCTTGTTCAGGAACTTCCTGTTATAAGGTGACAATGCACTGTACTTCTTCAGACACTTTCTGTTATAGGGTGACAACGCTCTGTCCTTGTTCAGACACTTCCTGTTATAGAGTGACAATGCTCTGTCCTTGTTCAGGCGCTTCCTGTTATAGGGTGACAACGCTCTGTCCTTGTTCAGACACTTCCTGTTATAGAGTGACAATGCTCTGTCCTTGTTCAGGAACTTCCTGTTATAAGGTGACAATGCACTGTACTTCTTCAGACACTTTCTGTTATAGGGTGACAACGCTCTGTCCTTGTTCAGACACTTCCTGTTATAGAGTGACAATGCTCTGTCCTTGTTCAGGCGCTTCCTGTTATAGGGTGACAACGCTCTGTCCTTGTTCAGACACTTCCTGTTATAAGGTGACAATGCTCTGTCCTTGTTCAGACACTTCCTGTTATAGGGTGACAATGCTCTGTCCTTGTTCACACACTTCCTGTTATAGAGTGACAATGATCTGTCCTTGTTCAGGCACTTCCTGTTATAAGGTGACAATGCTCTGTCCTTGTTCAGCAACTTCCTGTTATAGGGAGACAAAGCTCTGTCCTTGTTCAGGTACTTCCTGTTAAAGGGTGGCAATGCTCTGTCCTTGTTCAGACACTTCCTGTTATAGGGTGACAATGCTCTGTCCTTGTTCAGACACTTCCTGTTATAGGGTGGCAATGCTCTGTCCTTGTTCAGACACTTCCTGTTATAGGGTGGCAATGCTCTGTTCTTGTTCAGACACTTCCTGTTATAGGGTGGCAATGTTCTGTCCTTGTTCAGGTACTTCCTGTTATAAGGTGACAACGCTCTTTCCTTGTTCAGACGCTTCCTGTTATATGGTCACAACGCTCTTCAGTGGACGGGAGTGAGTGAGGGTCGGTTGTGTCCTGCTGTGCACAACACATCACAACCGTACGAGGAATGCGTCGACATGCAGGATTCACGCCACGTGAATGACCGCCCCCCCCGGGTGACACCACTGATCCAGCTAACGCAACGCAAGAGGAGACAGGCCTGTGAAGGACCCTCCTGGGTGACACCGCAGGTTGCGTTAACCCATATGATGGACTTCCTCAATGCACTGACACCATGTCACTCAGCCCTGTGAATATGCACTTCCTGGTGTCACCGCTCTCACAGATCCTGAACAATGTAACATTATTATTGCTTGCTGGAAGCAATGCCTGATGGGATCTGTAGTCTTGAACGATGATGTTGTTGCTAGTTTCCCAAGGTAACATCTGGGTTTGCAAAGGCATGCGCGGCACGCAGAGGGGGATTTATATCCTGTGCGTCCATTGAGAAATATATTTAAATGAAGGTTTTTCTGGCCGGAGTTCAGCTTCAAGGCGAGCCGGGCTGATTGAAAAACATCGGACTTCTCTGGACCCGCTTTGCTAAAGGCGAGTTGGTGCTGCCAGAGGGGAAGGGGGGTCAGCGTCC